GCTATGGGAACAACCGGGCTTGCCTCTGCTATGAGAATCTTGTACTACCCACTCCAGCTACCTACTGCCTGCTTCTGCTCCCCTAATTTGATTTCCTGGCATCTGACTTGTGACTCTTGACTTTCAGTTTGTCTACTGCTTCTGACTGCCCAACTCAGCTGAGTCGCTGACCCTTGACCCTATCTTATGACTGTGCGCTCTGGCTACTAGGACTGGCTGCCCATGATGCAACGCTGACACAGAGGGTACTGCAGGTCATAAGTAAGGTGCGTTTGCAGAGTTGCAGGGAGCCCAGGGCTGGAATCACAGGAAATGTTTCACAGAAAATTGTGCATAAACAGGTGTTTGATAGGAAATGTATGGCAATTGGTGCACTATGCCAGAATCTAACAAGTGCTGTCACTCTCCCTGGGAGCTCTGAAATTCACAACATTGAAACAAAGAGGAATCAGGGCTGAGAAACTTATGTCTCCTGAAAATTGCTTTCAAGCTGTGGTACACTGACAGGAACATTCTACCTGGCTATTAGTGTCAAGATGTTGACTCAGGCACTTACACAAAACTGGAATTCTGGGCAGACAATAAAGAAATAGAGTGAAAACCTTACAGTTTTGTATCTCAGATAATATACGTCACTGAGCAGCAAGCCGGGAAAACAGGTAGACAGCTAAAACTTCAGATTTGATTAGCCCACCAAAAACAAAACAAAACAAAACAAAAAAACCTGTCCTAATTTTCTGGTTGGGGTTTTACTCTCCCAGGTAAATTACAGTGAAATACTTTTGTTTAATGGGATTTCTCTGTATTCACTTTGTTCTCTCTGGGAATATTATGTCAGGGTTTTCCAATTCTATTCCCTGTTTTTGGTGTCTGACTCTTACATGGGCTATATTCGTACTCAATTTATTACAAATTAAAATGCCACATCCACCACGAGTCTGAGACAATGTAAGCATTTCTACTTGAAGGTCAGATGAATTGTAACAGCTAAGTATTATTATGGATAGTGTCCATCTGGTTTGAAATCTACAGAATAGCATATGGCTAGCTCTACACTAATGCTGACAGCTATCAGCAGTTGCTGTTGAGTGGTCCTGATTTTGCCAAATACATTTTCTTCCTGGTCCCTGTCAGCCCAGTACAGAATAGCCTGACAGGGCTGGAAAGCAGTTAGACCTGGGTCATTCTCCAATCTCTCCATCAAGTGCTTGTTTGAATATATGCACATGGACTTATACTGACTTATTAATCCAATTGCAGTTAATGTTACAAAGCCTACTTTGACGTGGTTGACACGTTAAATTGTTGCTTACCTTTCTGGCAAAACCAGCAGTCTTGGAATTATCTGACTGGCTTGCAAGCCTGTATTCTCTCTCTAAACATCAAATCAAACTGTCTTTCAGTAACAGAGCAAGACTCCTGCTGTTGTGACACAGTCAGCTTTGACAGAATTAAATGGTTGCTTGCCTTTCTGTTCTGCCTTTTGGCAGCTGTCAGAGCACTGGGCACTGCCCCCGCTCCCTCTCCACCTTGACCGCTGGCTCCTCAGTCACCCTACGTCCCTAACTACAAGGGCTCCCCATTCAAAGTGAGCTTCTGCCCCCTTTGCCTGCTTCTCCAGCCCACCAGGGCCAGCATCCTCTCAGCACTGAAGAGACATATGGGCTCCACTACCTTGAAGTGAAAAATCAATCCACACTAACACATGGGATTCATTGTGAGGTTGGAGTGATTTACAGAGCATTGATGGGACAGTTTTATAATGGTCTCCTTACAAAGATGCGCACACTAAAAACTTGGAGCCAGCCTACTAAGGACACAAGCCATTGTTTTCCATTACCTTATGTGGATGAGCTGGACTCAAACCAGAGACTTGGCCTAGTGGATGATTTTGCTGACAGACTGTAAACAAGGATTTTGTTTAAATGCTTCAAATAATTAGAGATGGGTCTGAGCCAAAGCTCGAGTTCCAAAGTCTCCCAAACTTTGTGGGGAGAGGCAAGGATGGGATAAGTGTTGCTGAAGCCAAACCTGGGTTGGGATTTTGAATCTGGCTCCATCTCTATAGAATGGGCCAATGGTAAACCCTGGATCCATACAGCTCTGGACTTTGGGGGATTCAAATTCCAAATCATGATTCTTGTATCTGGAGCTCTCTCTTTTCTAGTACTGTTCAAGTTGGCAGCCTGTCCTGAGAGACAATGGGTATTGTGTAGCCACACCCATAAGTCTGGCAACCACTGATATTGATTCAGATCTTTCACTAGCAGGGGTGCGCCTTTCCTCCACACACTCTCAGCCCACCAGCTCGGCCCCACTTCCTAGTATTGCATCTGAGACAATGCCATGATTTCATTTTGAGGACAGGGATTTTCTCTGCAAGCTCCCAGGTGATTCAGGTGTGAGTGTACGTCTGGGAAAATAAGAAGAGTGTCTGGGAACAGAAGTATGGCAGAGTGGGCTTCTTCCACAGTTTCCAGCTGTCAGCTACCTGATAACTTGTCAGTGCTGTAACCACGAAGGAGCAGAATGAGATGGGAAAAATGCACTCAGCAAAGTCACCCTACTGCACTCCTATCTTCCCTAACACATTGAAGGCATGGGGCTGTGTTGTAAATTATGCAATGCATTGGCCATCACTAGGTTCAAATATAGTTCCCAGCAGGCTAGGAAAAATCCTGCTGACCACAAGTCCAGGACAAGAATGGTGCAACCTGGGCATCATATGTCCTGCCACCCAAACAAGAAGAAGGAGAAGAATGGGAGGTTGGCTGTGTGGTACCAGGCTCAGCAGCAGCATTCTGACTCCCTGCAAGGTGAGCAAGAGGAGCAGACTGGAGGAAAGAGAACTGAGAGGGGAAAGAGAAGGAGCAAGAGAACTGTAGAGCGGGGATGCTCCTAACGATATCAACTACACAATGTCATGGGAAAAGATGGTAGGAGCAGGGAGATATTCACCACTTATGGTGTCTGAAGGTGAGCCTCAAGGAATGTGTTCTCTGTTAGTACCCTCAGCAAAAGGCTGTGGTAATTGGAAAGGAGATTTGGACTTTTCAGGATCTGAACTCTTCAACAGCAGCTGGCTAGCTGAGAAGACAACTGGGGAGTAGGCCAGGCACCCACCTTGACCTCGGAGATGCATGGCAGAAGCAGCAGGTGGTTAGGTGGCAGCATGATGTCCCTGCCCCCTCATCTCCGGCACCCATAACATCTGACAGTCCTGCTCCTTGCACCAATTTTAACCCAACTGCCTGGTGAGGAAAACAGCCTTTCTCTTTCCCCCTCCCTCCCACTGTCTCTCATATGATACAGCTCCACCCTGCTCCACCCAGCCCAGCTCCCGTCCCCAATTCCTGGAGGGCAGGAGAAGGGGGTAGGGCAAAGGAGGGGCTTGTACTCTAGGCACAGAGGAAATACAATTTGGATGGAAATATAGATCAGCCCCCACAGGTCTGCCCTCCCTGAGGAGAAGGGGATGGCTGATGATTTTGGCAGCTGCCCGGATCCTCTCTGCTACTTGAGAGGAGGACTCAATACAGCACTTAAGGAGAGCCAAGAGGGGCTAGTTACACAGCTAGGGGTGCCTGTGGTCTCCTGGGCGAAAGACCCAGGAAAGTACAGCCCACTTGGGTTACTCTTGCAGGATTAGTTTTACCAGTGTGAGTTGTCCCAGTATATTCACAGTGACCACTCTTGGAGAGACTCTGGAGACAGCTATGCTTATGGGTCCCATAAATAGGCCTGGCTGAATTTTAGATGCTTTTAAAATCACTTTCCTTTTAAAATTCAGACACGTTGGGGGGGGGGGGAAAGGAATGTGTAAAAATATTAATAGGGGGTTTGGAATGGCCTTTTTGCATTAGTGGTTAAGGATTCAGCCACAGTAGGCATTGCCCTTGGACATGTTTTTTCCTTCTGTTTTGTAGTTTGGGATGATAATACTGGTCCCAACCCTACCCTATGTTTTGATATATATAACCTTGCTCTCTCTCTGTTCTGTAGTCTAGGAAACCAGAAAAGTATGGGGCTATTCTACCTTGTTGTGTCTCTTGCTTATCCTCATTGACTCTGAATAACATCTTTAGAGTCAACTTCCTTGTAATCTCTGTAACTTGTTAGTTTGTAGTATAAAAGTGTTGATTCAATTATAAATTATATAAACAGTGATTGGGGTGGGTATAATTGTATTCATTATTTGCTTATTAATATTCATTTTATGGGAGTTAACATTACTAAATAAGGCTTCAGGAAAAGTAGTGATAGACATGTGAATTAACATACTAAGATAGATAAAAGATTCTGACTACTGCCAGGTTGTTGCCGCTCGGACATCGTGTTGAATGTCCGAGGTAAACGTGCATAGGCAATAAAGCTGTCCCTTTTACCCTATCCGCTCCTGGGCCACCTGTTTCTTCTCTAACAGTGTGGTACTTTAGAGCAGAGGTGCAGATTGTTGGCCACAGGCCAGGCAGCTTCATGCCTCTGGGCTACCAAGGCAAAAGGTACCTTAGCAAAGATGCCAACACAGCCCTGGACAGTGCATTGCTTGTTCTTCTTTGCTGGTGAGGGAAGCACAAAAGCCAGGAATAGAAAAGCCCTAGTAAGTCATTGAGCCTACTCATTTTCTAGCAATGCAGCATCACACATTGTGTTTTGTCTAGTCCAGTTAACAACTCAGGCCCCAGGCTCAATTTGATTCTCTTTCCCACCCTACTCAGCTCTGTGTGATAAGCATATTTTATATATCTCTAAATAAGCAAATGATGAAGCATTCACGACTTCCCTTGGGGACCACAGAGCAATGTGATCTGTATTCCATCCCTGATCACAGGAAGGGGCATATCCAAGTTTATGAAAGACACAAGAAGTACATGTTGGGGGTGAATTGTAGAATCTAGAGATGGAAGAAACAGTCACCTTGCCACAGTGCCAAGTCTTGCCTTTAGGCGCCACTCATACCAACATGAAAGAGAAATAACGTTATGAAGGTGGTACGGTACCTGTCTTCCGTCTTTCTGATTGCATGCTTCCAGCGTGATCTGAGACCCAGTGGAGAAGGAGGTGATGGAGAGACACTTGTCTTGCTGTCTAATTAAAGGGTCACTGAAGACCCACTCCTTTGGAGGAGAAAACAAAAAGATACCGATTCCATCATTAAGTTAGTGATGATAATCACACACAAAAATGAGCCAAATCCTGGAGTCCTCACTCTGAAGTTAGGGAGGTGGAGTGGGATCTCCAGTTAACTCAATCCCACCCACCCCTATCCACTCAGGCAGCGGCCGGACGGCCAACACAGGCTGCCCCAGAGATGGACCTGGCTCCTGCATTAGGAAGGCAGGATAAAGGACCCGCTGAGGGTGGGGTGGGTTCTGGAGTGGACCAGAAAAGAGACTCCCATGGACTCAGCAGGCAGCTCCGTGGGAGGTCTGCCAACCATGCTCTGCAGTCTATGTGCAAGTTTGAGGAACCCTAATAAGTGAATGTCACAGCCTATTGGCTGGTTTCCAAAAGTCAGATTGCCTAGATTACCCAAGTGTCTCCCGGCTCAACCCCTTTATGTAACCAGCGTTCTACTGGCCTGCAAAACTGGCACGGCCCTGTCTCCTAATTGAGATAACGGACATCCGTTTCTGATTATTTTGCATAACAGGCAAATTCACTGCCTACTTCTTCCAGGAGTCTCATAGACTCATAGACTTTAAGGTCAGAAGGGACCATTATGATCATCTAGTCTGACCCCCTGCACAATGCAGGCCACAGAATCTCACCCACCCCTCCCAGAATAATCCTCTCACCTATATCTCAGATATTGAATCCTTCAAATACTTTGAAGACCCCAAGATGCAGAGAATCCTCCAGCTGTGATCTGTACCCCATGCTACAGAGGAAGGCGAAAAACCTCCAGGGCCTCTGCCAATCTACCCTGGAGGAAAATTCCTTCCTGACCCCAAATATGGCAATCAGCTAAACCCTGAGCATGTGGGCAAGACTCATCAGCCAGATACCCAGAAAGTTCTCTATAGTAACTCCTATCATCCCTCCATTGACCTATTCCCACTGATAATGAAGTGATTGCCCAATGTGGACAAGAGACAATTTATCAAATTAGGCAAAACATATACAATTAAAGCCACACGCTTCCACACAGCACACACACATCCATAGAAAATAAGCCATTGCATTGATCTCTCTTGTCACTTGACAGACACCCACTGCTTCACGTATTAAGGTTATTGTTCACTAGGACAGCGGCCCAGAAAGGAGACTGAGTGCGAGAAATTTCAGCAACTGGAAACAATGGTGAAATGGCACAGTGAGTCAGATAACATGGCATGTGGGATGCTGGCTGCAACAGATAACAGAGGGAATGAGCATTTCCTGGCATGGAAGAGCTTACTGGGACCCTCTTCTTACTCAGGCTGCTTCCATACTGCAGCATGGTTGTCAAGTGAAAAGATCTTGGGCTGGTGTGTGTAGTCCCTCATTGAAGTTTGGGGGACTGTGCCTGTGTACAGCAGTTGAGGTCCTGGCTGCTTACCATACGGCGTGGCTTTACTTTGAAAAGTCTCTGTAAAAATGGCACTGTCTTACTTAACAGATCTTCTCCCTAAGTATTATTTGCTGACTTTCAAATACCTCCCTCCCCCAATATTTTACATTTAGTTAGCTCTGTGGAGCCACCACCACTTCAGGAGCAGGAGTAACTTCAGTTGCTCGCCCATCATTAACAGAGTTGTTAGCTACATTCTATTGGCAGAGCCAAATCCTCCCCTCAGTTATACCTGCGCAAGTCCACTGTAGATGGATTCTTGCTTAGAGAATTTTTGTTTCTTGTGGGGAGGTGCATGACTTCTGGATCCCCCGTGGAGTTTGCAGGGCTGGCTGCTACAGGTTGCACCTCTATATACCAGAACTCTCTGGTCTGGCAACATCTGTGATCCAGAAGGAACCATGGATGTTCCAGGATCAGAGAGTCCAGGTGCACTTCAGGGGGCGGGAAACGGGGGGCCAGGAGCCTGGCCTGATGCATGTGGAAGGAGATGCGTGGCCTAATTGAGCTATGAGGGGGCAGGAGCTGGGAAGCCCGGCGTGTGGCTGGGAAGCCCGGCGTGTGGCTCACCTGGGCTGCGGGAGGAGCCAGGAAGCCCGGGCAGTGGGGGTAAAGGGGAGGGCCAGTAGCAGAGGGGCCAGAAATGACCTCCCCATGTCTGGCAAAATCCTTCATCCGGAATCAGTCAGGTCCTGAGGCAGCTGGACCAGGGTGGTCCAACCTGTAGGAACAACGCCACACATCTTTTTCTCATAACCTGGGTATATTTGCTCTGGGGTTAATGAGAGACAAGCTGGCTCCTACAATGCCATTTTATTAAATCACTTTTCTTCGAATTGCACATCGATATAATTTTATTTAAAGAGGACAGTGTGGGGTCAAATTGGATCCAGAATGTAGCTTTTGGAAAAGTCCTTTTTTCGGTTTGTCCCCACTCATGGAACAAGCTATGGAGTTGCAAACGAACACCCTAGAGCCCCATGCAGGTTTTGGAGTAGTGGAGGGAGGCTCTGTGATGGCTGTGGTAGTATGGGGGCAATTGGTAGCATTGCAACATTATTTTAAGTTTTATTCATCTTCAGTATTATCAGTAACTTAAAGAAATTAGGTTTCTTTAAAAACTGCTTTTTAACCAGACACTGCCCCTTCCGTACAAACACTATTTTAAAAACTACATTAAACTTTTTTATTTAAGTGCTGTCTTACATTCCTAAATAAGTATTTGAATATAGTCTTCCAGTAACTTATAGCAAAGATTTCCATTTCCACCAGTGTCTGTGCCAGTTAGGAGTAAATTAACCACTTTAAAACCCTGTGAATGTTTGTATTGTGCCCAAAAAGTGGTGTCTGGAAGATCCTATGGACCCAGGCCAAATGCTCCAGTGTAAGGCATGAGCCATAGTGCAGCTCACCTTTAGCAGGAATAAATGTGCCCCTTCTTTACTGTATTTCAAAGCCTGGGTAGTATGGTAATGGGCACTGCAGAGAGGAGGTAGGCAGCAAGAATGAGAAGTAGCTCAGCTCCCGAGTGCACACTGTAGCACTCCAGGGGTTAAGGAAATATTGCCTGTGAATCTATATATATGTAGGTTAATGTCCATCTTGCTGTACTATATGAATCTATATCTAATACAGTAGAGCAGCAGCACCCCTGAGGGCCATGGTAGTAATTTGCCAAGACATCCGAGGCCCACATCACAAAATGGAGACACCTGAGGTCCCTCCCAGCTTGGAAACAGAAGTGTGGCCAGTGGAGAACACAAGTCCCAGCATGCAATGCTTCAGCTTACTCTGAGCCATTTGATTGTGGGCCACATTGTCAAACTGACCTGCATGTTGTCCACCAAAGAGATTGTACCTTATTATAAGGCTGAGCAGAAGCAGCTACTGGTGACTGTTAGGCCTAAGGCAAGGGCGGGCAATAAGAAAACGGCAGCCCACAGGGTTAGTCCCTGGCAGGCCACTGCTACTATATTTACTCCACCTCCGCAGGTATCAGAGGATCGCAGCTCTGGTTAGCCAACGTGAGCAACGGGAAGTGTTGTAGACTGGGACGCCACTTCCTGCCTCTTGCATTGGCTGCAAATCGCCATTTGTGGCCAACCAGAGCTGCGATCCTCCAATACCTGTGGAGATGCAGCTAAACATGGGAGTGGCGGCCCACCAGGGACTAATCCTGTGGACCGGATCTGGCTTTGCCCACCCTGGCCTAAGGTCTCAGATGTTCTGAAGGTCCCCCCCCCCACACACATTAATCGTCCCAGTACCAGTGTGCCAGAAGGGCTAAAAAGCAGCAAGCAGGAGTAAAGAGCCAAATTCAAGCCCAACTCACCTGGCTGATAGGGGGATTGCTCACTGTCCCTTTGCAGCCTCCTAAACCTGCCACAGAGTTCCCTGTGGTGTCCTGGCCCCATGACTCCAGGCACTGTCCTCCTTGTCTGATAATCCCGGGAACAAACTCCTTTTCAGGAACCCTGAGAGAAAAACAACAGCATTTACATAGCACCTTAAAGCCAGGAGTGTCCGAATGCACTGTATGTATTTATATTGAGATTACACCAACCACCACTGAAATGCGCCTGCCTCTAGAGTGGAGCATAGCATGCTATTACACAGTACAATAGTGTAAATGAAGAATATTGTATCCAATAGAATGCCTGAGGGAATTTGAGGAGGCAGACTTTGTTAGGTTTTGACCAGACCCTGGGCTAGTATCCCTTACTCTCAAAAAAGTGCAGGGAGATTCTTAATATCCCCAAGCAGTTAGGACTTCAGTGTTGCATCTTCTCTGAAAGACAGCACCTCCAGCAAAAAGCAGCAGCTATACTAGCCTCCCCCTCTAATTTCCCCACAGCTTCCACCATTTCATATCCACTGTGGTAGCAAGGAGCACGCCGCTAGCGTAGGCAGGGTTCTAGCCAGCTATGAACTTTTTAACCACCATGTCATCTAACCCTACCGAGACTTAGGTTTTGTCTAGACTAGGGTGTAAAGGGGTGTTGGCAGGACACGTTCGCTAACATGTTCTGCTAACACAGCCCTAGCGTAGGCACGGCTGCGCACTAACATGGGGCTGGGCACTGGTTGGGTACTGACTCAGAAGGAAAAGTGCCAGCTACCAGTTCACAAAGACCATTTGCTACAGAATGTGGGGTTTTCCTTGAACATCTCCCATCCACCTATTGGGGCAGATCCAATTCCACTTGGTTTGTTCTTTGGGGGCTCCAGACTCTTAACAGATTTATCTCCAGAGGTAAGTTAGTCAGCAGTTCTTCCCCCATCAGCACACACCTCGACTTCCTTTGACAGCCTGTCCTCTCTCCCTATGAACAATGGGTGCCACCCCACCTGACTTCTTGAAGGTCTCCTAACAGAGCTCCCTATCCCACAAAAACACCTCCCTTGTCATTCCTTCCCTCTCCCAAAAATGTGCTCATTTCAATCTGTCTGCCTCCTAGCTGCTACCTCTCCCACTTCCCTGCTAGAGATCCTTTTCCACCTCCCTCTTCTCAGTTCCCAGCTCAAATGTCCAAGTCATAACTGGTGGTGAGTCAAGTGGAAGTGCAGGCAGGAAGTCAAGGAGGATAGCTCGCCAAAAAGAGAAGAGTGGACAAGGTTTACTTGGAACATGAGAGTCCTGACTTCCTACTTCCCAGCTGCCACAGATCTTCCCCAATTCTGAGGCTCATGCTTTCCTCCTGGACCTGCTTCCCACATCCTTTAGAGAGCTGGTTTCCAGTCTTTTGCGAGTTGAGGATTAACTCACTTGAGCTCTGGGTAGACATTCTCCAGGTACCACTGGAATGATTTACAGTTTAATTTCCTGCGTTGCTCCACGCGGTCTGCGACGCTGGAAACAAAAGTGTGTTGTTCAGCATGATACAGTGAATGGAAATGATGAGGGTAGTGGGGTGGGGACAGGGCCAGTTTTAGGCATGCGTGAAGCTGTATAATGTTGCCTTCTTGCCCCTTAGCATTGCCCTGCTGGCCAGTGTGATGGGGGCAGAGCAGAGCCAGTGAGGGAAGTGAAGCCAAAGAGGGATGAGTGCACTGGCCTCCTGACTGGGGAGCGGACTGAGTCCTAGGGAAGCGGACTGCCCACCTAGTTGTGCCTACCCTGGAAACAAACACACACACTGGCAATTTCACACACTTCCTCTAGCTCAGGTTAAAACAAGGCAGCACAGCAGCGCCACTGGAGAGCTTTGCTGTTGTATGTCCGTCTTGGGCTCCATTTTAAGAGAGAGACTCAACCAACCAGCGGTTCCCAGACAGGGTTGGAAAGCTCAACAGGCCACTACCAATGATCAAGGGTGTATTTAAGATTTTTTACCCCTCCGTTTACAATGACTCTTAGGACATAAGCCTTCTAAAATGACATTTAATGTAAGCTTTACAGAGCCATTAGTCCAGGTTATGTAATTACTGAGGGCCAAACCTTGCCGCCCTGGCTCAGCTTTTATTCACACAGAGTCAGTAGGAGATCTGCATGACTGGCACAGCAGGCTTTGGCTCCAAAGGGCTCATGGAGGCTTAAACACTAAGTGTAACGGAGACCTTGCCACCCCAAACAGAGAGGCAGCCAAGGGACTGGGATAGGAAATGTGTTTGGGTTCTCGCACACACAGGCCCTAGTGGAGACAGATAAATACTAGGCAGGCAAAGACATGTTTAAAAGATAATTTATTAATTCATGAGACATAGACTCGAGGTAAATAAAACACAGAGGGGCACTCAGACCATATTGAATCTACAGAACTCAGTTCAAAGAGGACATACTTCAGTATCAAACCTACATGTGTCTGAGAGACAACCACACACAGGGATCTCCTAATGCAGTAACAGCAATGGGCTGGCAATAGACTGATACCTCCACAGGGGTACGGCTGGCTTCACAGTACTCCCCTAGTTAATAAAAATGCTTTTGGGTTTTACAGTTCTTTGGGAAGTTCAGTTCTTGATGCAACTTCCACTCTGCCCCTCACCTGTGGGACTCTGCCTATAGCTGGCTTTTGCGGGGCAGCCAGCCTGCCTAACCCTAATGCTAATGGCCATTCATGCCAGTAACCAGTCCCATCGGCTCTGGATGCCACAGAGGCAGAGGGATGTCGGAGCTGTTACCTGCTCAGCTCAGGTCTCCAGACTGGTTATCTGCTATGTAAAAAAAACCTCACTATTTTCTTCTAGCCACTTAACACATTGCCTTTTAATTTAATTAAGGGTCCCTTTTGCCTTGTCTTCTAGAGCAAATTAAATAGGGCACTGCAGGGGAAGAAGGATATTTATTGCCAATTTAAAATAAAGTAAATTAAAAGCAAGTCTTGTTAACTAGCCATCTGAGCTGTGGTTCTGAGCGAATGTTGGGCAGGGCATCTTTGCCCTCAGCTTTTCCCTACCCTTCCCCAGGGAAAGTGCAAATGTGTTTTCCCGTGGACAAGCTGATAGTGAGAAATTGCTGGCCAGTCTCAGGGACTACTTACCTTCCAAATGACTTCCCGATGGCAGACGGTCGGGCCTCGTAGTAGTACTGCTTGTACCCATCCATCCACACCTCTGCTGTGCGCTTGGTGTTCCTGCAGGTGAGCAAGGAGAAGCGATGGTGAGTGAGAGTAGCTTGGGACACCTCCCCCAAGAGCTGGAGATAAAAGAACACTGGCAGTGTCGGGGACATCCTCATGGAGACACTCGGGGTATGTGTACACAATGAAGATTATACAGACACAGGTATGGCACCGTAGCTCTCCCAGTGTAACCCTATAGTCTAGATGCAGCCCAAGATGATGAAAGGGTTTTTTTCTGGCTGTGTAGGAACACCACCTTCCCAAATGACAGTAGCTTCGTCAACAGAAAAACCCTCCTACACTGGGGCTAGGCTGGTATAGGCTGGGGGAGGGAAGGGTGTCGAGATTTTTCTTACACCTCACCAACATGGCTATGTTGACCTAACTTTTAAGTGTAGACCAGGTCTCAGGAAAGTTAACTCATTGCTGCAGCTATGCCAGTATAACCTCATAGTACAGGCACAACTTATAGCCACAGAAGAGTTTTTTCCATCCCTGTAAATAATCCACTTCTCCAAGCAATAGTAAAGTCAATTAAAAAATTCTTCTGACCACCTAGTTGTGCCTACCCTGGAGGTTAGGTTGGCAAAGCTATGTTGAAAAGCTTCAGAGAGGTAGCCGAGTTAGTCTGTAACTGGAAAAACTTAAAAAACAAAGACTAGTCTAGTAGCACCTGTTTTGTTAGTCTTTAAGGTGCTACAAAGCTATGTTGGTCAGGGAGAGGGGATTTTTTACACCTCTAATGTCAGAGACCAATGTCACCCTTCGTTTTTTTGTAACACTTTTCTTCCTACCAACACGTCTACAAACTTCTCTCATTTTTTTTCTCTTCCCCTCTCTGCTATGATGGAAGCAGCCCATGTGGCACTTCTCACAGCGGATACATCTCTGCAGCACATCTGGACCTGCAACTCTTATGTGCCATCTCCTAATCAGTCCAAAAAAATGTGACAAAGAACTCGTGAGTCTTGGATGACAACCCCCCTTTCTGTGGCAGGCTGAGCTGGAAGGAAGAAGATGGACTGGGCCAGGAATACCCAGGACTGGGATTCCTAGGGACACTAAGGATATGTCCTTCCAGGTTAGCATTCCAATCCCTGACAATGCAGACTGAGGAAGAAGGAAATGCACTTTATGTGGTGGGCCCCGCATCATTTCTTTGCCTAGGCAGAAAGCTTGAGGCCGAATCTCGTCAAATATTCAGTCATGAGCAATCCTCCCTGAATCCCCAGGCAAAAAAAGGAAAAGGAGAGAGAGGAAGACAGATACGGGATTATTTAGACATGCTGAATAAGCATGTGGCTGACCCATCTGTCACTGCAATCTCCAAACACCTACTTGATATAGGTCAGTGCATTGCCCTCTGGAAAGTCATAGGGGTGGCGTTTCCTGAACACATGGCCAACTCGACTGCAGGGAACAATCTCCAAGCTGCCACCGCACATCCACACTCGGAAGGAGAGCTCTGGAAGAGACCCCAGGCATCAGACGATACCAGACAAGCAACACAAGTAAAACACCTATGAATACAGGAAAAAACCCACCGCAATGCCTTTGCCTCCTCTCTCTGTGCACATGCCATAGATGCAATCAATGGCAAAACCAGGAAGGGTGAAGTGACAGAGAACCGCTTAACATTTTGTTTAATTTTTGTTAAAATTGAGCTGATCCTTCTCAGATTTTCTTCCTATCCTTCTCCTTTCTCTGGCACCACCCCTTTCGTAAGATACGTACTCATTTATCTTGGTCCTTGTGGCTGCCAAACTTTTAAAATGGCTTCAGGCAACAACGCTATGTGATGTTGCTAACATTACACTGGCCCCCACCGTTTTGGACTTCAGTGGCTCACAACCTCAGTCTATGAGAGATGGGGCTGCCCCAGGAAAATAGACACCCCTGAAGAATTCAGAATGGATGGCAAGTCTACAGGGAAAAGTAGGAGCATGGGGGAAAAGGAACCGATTTTGGAAAGGGGTGGGCGTGTGAGGGAGAACAGGAAATGACAGAGAGAAGAGGAGTTGGGAAGGTCCTTTGATTTCCTTAAGCTGCCCATGCCTGGAATACCCTCTGCTATGCCTGCAGAGACATGGCTCTGGAGCACAATTTCAAAGCAAAGCGTATCGTAAACACCTGACCACAGATGCTCTCTCCCTCTCTCTTCAGGGCAATGACCCAACTGATCAGGTGTATGTATTTTCAATTAAACAGGTCCATGTAGCTCAGGTGCTTGTGGCCCCTTGACATGGCAAAATTTGGTGACCACCAGTATAAAGGGTCCATGTCTCCAACACTGTCTCCCCCTGCTTTCTCCTCTCCTGGTCCCTGAAATTCCAGCAGCTGCAGTAAATCTCACATTAATGTTTCATCTGTATCACACCATCTCACCTGACTCTGCCAAAAAGGGGGAAGGAGTGAAAACGCTGTTTGCTCACAAGTTCCAAAACTGAGCCCAGTTTATGTAAGACACACACACACACACATATACACATTGCTTACAGAAGCCTGACTGACTCTGAAGTCAAATTCAACATTTTGTTAAAGGACTTGCAGAAACACAGGGGCTTTGATGTGCAGTAGCTTATTTGCATCACTAAAGAGGCAGGCACTTGTTAAGGATTACGGGTCTGCACCCTCTCCCACAAGTTTAATCATTGCATTATACTGGATGGGTTCCCCACTTGCATTTCATATGGTGGGGGAAGCAACAAAAGTAGAAGGGGAACAGGGGGGAAAAAATCAACCAAGGAGCTGGAGAGGTTTGTGCCAGGTTCCCTACAACAATGGAGCCTTCCAGAGACTTCAGCTCATATAGATTTGCCTTCAGGCACTTTACTTACCAGGCCATGGGACAGGAGCTACAACATTTAGATGTCCCCTCAAAAAATAATCCTTTCAGGCTGAAATATGACATGCACACCCCATGGTTGCCATATGTTAGGCTTCCCAACCCCAGGATGCCAGTCTAACTCGTTTGGAAGCAGTGGGGTTGGCTGTTTAATGTAATCAGGGGTTTATTTTAATGGCTTCTGCTTCTGCCTGAGTAAAGGAGCAAATGTCAGTAAGTCACCTTTTTACTGCTATCTTTTGATTCCTTTCACATATCCCAAGCAGTCTGTGCTCAATAGGGATCAATTGAGAGACAAACAACAGAAGAACGTCTCCCAGACAAGAAAGGACTTTAAAAAATAACAAGTTATATGTTTCTTCTGCAGAAGAAACCAAAAAGCCAATTGGCTTTTTCACTCCTAGGTTCTGACTCATTCTGGGCCAGGTTGCAGGCTAATGATAATGAATGTAGCCATTATGAAATTCTGGACTAGTTTGTTCACTTAACCTGATGTACGGGTTTCAAGACAGTTCTTGGTTCTAGGGGGACATGGCCGAACGGCCAGGCACATATACACACATGGAGAGAGACACAAGAGAGACAGAGACAGACACACAGAGAGACAGGTACAGAGACCGAGAGAGAGAGAGAGAGAATCTATTCCATATCCATAAAGCCTCAGGATCCCCGAAGAAAAGCAAACAGGACAAAAGATGATGCAGTTCACACAATACATCACTTTAGTTAGACTTCTTTTCCTCAAATACAGAATAGAAACTGGAGATGGAGAAGATTTATTAGGTGATTTAATCCATCTCCTGGGACAAATGTTGGATTGTTATGCACTGTATGTTTCCTAGCACTCTGCCATTGCAGATGACTCACAGCACTGTGGGTTTCTACATTTCCCCCCAAAGAGACTTCTCCCAGCTCAGGGGATGCTTACACTTGGAGAGGAGAGTGTGATGCCTAGCTTCAGGAGACATATCCACACTAGCTTTGAGCGAACTAGTGTGCTAAAAATAATGTAGCAGTCCCAACTATTTGCCTCTGGTCTTGGATGTGTATGTATTTAGGGTGGCTTACCCCTTCCACTGCTCATGCTGCCATGGCTGTGCTCTATATTTAGCTCATTAGCTTGATCAACACTAGCCTTGGTATATGTCCTTGAGCTGGAAATCACACACTCAGCATACCCTAAGACATCTCACTGACATGAAAACTTGCTTGGAATGCTTGCACTCAGCTACCAAGTTACTCCTGCCTACCAGGTGAAGCAAGAAGCAAGATTTTGTGAGGAGTGTATAGTGAAGCATCCTATTAACATGTCCTTTCAGATATGCACTTGCTTCCCTACCTTATTTTTAACTTTCCTCATGTGCAAGTGGAGCTAGGAGGAATTTTCATATAAGAAATTTGTTGAAAAATTGCCTTTAAAATCCACTAGTAATTTTTCAATGAAAAAGTATATTTTTAATACAAATTTTATTAACCCTCCCCCCCAAACCTGGCTTTCTATGAACAAAACAAAAATGAAAAATATCCATCACCATTTTCTATATAATTATCCTTCAGGTATCTGGTGGACATATAATTTATATATCAAGGTAGAATGAGCTTTATATTATATTTTAATTTCTGGGATGGGTACCGACAGAGTTTCATGGAAATCTAAAGAAATACAATATGGAGTCATCCAACATTAGATCTTTTCAGCAAAGATTCCACTCCTCAGTTTTGTTTTCACCATCCCTACTGTATTCTTTAAAATGCCAAAAGCATGAAATGCATTCTTCTTTAAAGGGGATTTTATCTGCAATTAATAATATAAACAGAATACATTTGTGGTAGCTTTATCATTCTTAATAATCCTCCTATTGCCATGTCTGACTTCTGACAGATCATCATTTCCTATGTGTCTTAGAGAGGGGACCCTCCACTTAATAGAAAAGTTACTTTTCTGAGCTCCTTAGGCGATACCGAGTAGCACTTACTGCAGGCAATCAAGGCTTAGAACTGCTCAAACAGTGAGCAAAATCACCGTATAATTCCAGAGAGAGTTGAGCCAGAGGGAGGGTTTTTTTATTATGACAAGAGGTACTGAAACACGGAAAGAGATATGTACAGATTCGTTTCATTTAACAGGGAAGACAAATAAATTCGTTACTTTAAATCCACTCTTCCTCATCAGCAATATATTTTAATAAAGTCCCACATACTTAATTTCTCTGTGCTCTTCTTTTCAGTTGTTTCTGCTGCTATATCTATCCCTACCTTCCCTGTGATGATTCTACAGCACAGGCATCATCTCACTTGGGAGAAAGAGATGCCTCAAATTGTCTCCTCTGGGTAGGATTGTGGAGGCAGATTTCCGTGCTTTGCTATGAGAAATAACAGCACCCGGGAAGATACTCCTCAAATAGTTATAGAGCCCGATCCCAGTCCAAGAGATTTCATTATGAATGTCTGTGCCCAGATTTCACTCCCAGGCTATGTCTATACTGCAGAGCTTTTCCGGGATACTGGAGGTATCCCGGAAAAGCTGTGCCGCATCCAAGGAGCGCATCTGCTTTTCTGCAAACATTTTTTGGAAAAGCAGACACATTTTTTGGCATTCCTATAAACCTTGTTCTATGAGGAAGAAGGGATGTTCTGAAAGAGGGTTTTCTCCAACATTTGGCCCCATATAAATGGGCCAAAGGTCAGAAAAGCCTCTTTCAGAAGAGAAGTGGAAAAAGATACGCAAATTGTGGTTTGCAATTTGCATATCTTTTTCCAACTTTTCTTTGTAGTGTAGACGTGACCCCGAAGAGACTTGGCATACTAGGAACACTACATTTCAAAGCCATTGTCATGAGATGAGAACTCACCTTTATTAGGAGAAGAGGGGATGTGTATGGAAAGTTTTAATGGTACTGACGCTCTACTTCAAGACCTGTATGACTATGGAATGGGACAGGAAGAAGAATCACTTCCGAAGATTTGATGTTAAATATGCAGATGTTACTGTTATTTATTTGTATTGAAGTGTAGAAAGCTTGTATAGAAAGCTTCCTTCAAAGATGAGGACCCAATTCCGTTAGGTGCTGTGCATGCATACAACAAAAAGATGGTGCCTACCTTAAAGAATTTATTACCTCTTGGATATATACATGAGCCAGTAATACAGATATTGCCAGCCATAATCTAGAACCTTATGCTGATACACAGATCACAGGAGTGGGGCATTTTTATTGGTCGAGAATGCATCCCATCTATTTGCATACTGACACAAAGTGCTCAGTGGAACGCATATTTTGTCTGACAAAGAGTTCCTAGTGTTGCTTTCTGTGAGAGGAGGAAGGGGAGGGGAGCAGAGTACATCTTGAGTAATTTCACAACTCACCAAAGTTCTCTCCTCCCCAGATATCCATCTGAGTGTCATATCTTCCCAGATGATTAAACCAGGACTTATTGATCACAAAGATGCCTCCTGCTATAACAGGTGTTCTGGAGAGAAGGAAGAAAAGGCAAGCACATAATCAAACAATAATAATCATTTCTTCTTGCACGGGACTCTTCATCTGAAAATCACAAGGCACTTTAGAAATATTAATTAATTAAACCTCATAAACCTGTGCCACCCCCTTTGTCCTAGCATTTTACAGATAGGGGTAATTTGGCCAGGCATCGTTCCACACCTCAGTCACATTATAAGATTGCATCAGAACTGGGAATACAACACAAATCTCCCGACTCCACGTCTAGTGGTTTCACCAATAGACCATCCTTCCTCCTCTTGTTAGATTCTATCACAGTATTTACAAAGTTAGGGCAATGTCTTTTGCTCTTTGCACAACATTCTCAATATGAAGGAACCACATGGGCACAGTGGGGTCCAAACAACTGCTGGGCTATTAATAGAACTCAGCTACATATATACACTGCTGTTCTGTCAGGGGGGTCTGGTGGTTTCTGAAACATGAAGGATAGTGAGGACTGCTCACAAACTACTTACTGGGATGCTATCCAAACCCTATCTGCTATAGTTAAAGTATCTTGCTTCTAAATAGACAAGAATTAGGGGTTTGTGTCAGCATTTTTCTCACTTCAGTCTTCTCAAAGCTCTGCACACAACAATAAACCTGCCAGTGACTGCACTGGCCACCAGAGAAGCCCTTATGTGCCCAACCTCCATCTCTGTCAGAAACTTGAACTTTCAAAGCTGGGAAAGAAGGATAGTTAAGTGCTTGGACTGGTTTCTGTTCCTGACTCTGCCACTGAATTTCCTGTGTGACATTGGGCAAGTCAGTCAACCTCTGTGCCTTAATTCTTCATCTGTAAGAGGGGGTAATAGCACAATCCGACCTCACAAACTGTCAGGAGGATACATTCGTTAATATGTGTCAGGCACTCAAACGCTAGAGTGATAGGGGCCATGTAAGTAGACAGATTGAACGGGCTGCAATCAGTATTCCTTCTCTTTTTGTATGTCCCTGTGCAGAATGACTTTTATGGTGTGTACCAATATGGAGGTGATGTATCCCATAACAAAAGTCATGCCGCACATGGACAGTGTGTGGCGGGGTAAAGTCGCAGGGATGAGGTATGGGAAGGGGCTCAAGGATAAGGCAGAGGATGGGTATATAGGAGGGTGAGGGCTCTGGCTGAAAGTACAAGCTCTGGGATGGGTCCAGGATGAGGGGTTCAGAGTGCAGGAGGGAGCCTATGGCTGGGGCAGAGGGTTGATGTGTGTGTGGGGGGCAGACTCTGGGGTGGAGCGGAGGATGAAGGTTCTGGGATGCAGGCTGTCCCAAAAAGAGAAGACTCTTTCAACCCTCTCTCACTGCAGCAGCTTGGGGCCAGGTGAGAGGCGCTTCTGTACTGCCCCAGCAGCTCCAGTGGGCACAGCCAAGGGGGCATCTGTCCTTCAGCCGTGGCAGGCTGGAGGCAGCTCCATGTGGGGCTGGCAGGGAAAAACGCCTCTCCTCCTCAGCTGCAGCCAGGGAGAGGTGCCTCTTTCCCAGCCATGACGGTTCTGGGGCTTGGGGAGAGGCATCTCTCCCCGCTGCAGCTCTGTGCCCCAGAGCCCCGCAGCGTGGAGGGAATGTAGGCTGTAATGGCCTGTAAATGCGGTTAACTTACAATGTTACGTCTTCCATTGTTCAGGGAACAGGGAATTGATATTAGAAGCTTTCACAAACATTACAGGACTGCTTCAAACGTCCCACAGGACAAATGCCTGCCGCACGTGGCATCCACAAGACAGGTTCTTGTGCACTCCTGAGGCAAAGATGGCATACAAGAGAGAGATGCACAAGCCCAGCAGAGATGGGTACCTTATGGACTGGGTTGGATCCGTTCTGGACATCTTCTGCTCTATAGGGATTTGCTCCCACTTAAAGTGAAGGCTCCAGTCAAACCCTGAGAAGAAAAGAAACGCTAGGGAGAGAAGCCCATAGAATAAGAGTGCAATGCCAGCTACTAGAATACTCAGGAAGTCTGCAGCAAGGACATTGGGAAATAGCAAAAGGATGTTGCAAACCTTGTTTTGCTGGCCCTAGTGTCTGTTTTTCACACACAATTTTCCACTAGCCTGGGAAATAGACCCAGGCCTTCACTGTGTGCTGGTGTTCAAAGGGTGCCTGTTTTGCCCCCGCAGACCCACCCCCCTGAGGCAGGTGCCACGCCAGATTGCCTGTGTTGCTCCGCACATCAGCCAGCAGGAGGCAGCTTGGCATGTTGGACCTGCAAATGCATAGAGGCAGAAGTCCCAAGGCTACCCCACATGTGCCCCAAAATAGCAAGAGCCTTCCACATTGCAACAAAATGTACATGTGTTGAGGTACCATTTGAAGTCACTCCAGGAGCTCCCTTCCCTTAGCAGCATTTGTCTGCAGTTCATCTACTTTCCAACTCTTCTGGAGTGTTGTCAAGGTGAGATGTGATAATCGGGGCCCCTGTCGTCTGGTCAACCTGCCTTTTACCTCATTAGCTGACAAAGTGATGAAGTTTGGAGCAACGCTCTTGGTGGGATGCTGGTGGATTTCCGGGAACAAAGGCTCCAGTTCATTATCATTGGTTTTCCCGTCTATCACTTCTTGAGTTGCCCCTTGTTTCGGAATTACTCTCAGTGGAACCCGTAAAATGATGCCAGGTAATGGAGACCCACAAATGGGGTGGGTTCTAAATTCAGGGTAGTGGTGAGAGGAGGTGCTGGCAGACGGGATGAAAGGGAGAGAGAGTTGAGCCAGACAACGTTGGAGGGGGCAGGGATGGTAGTGGTAGGGTTTAGCAGCTAGAAGAGATATTTGAGAATATTTTCAGGGGTTATTGCGGGAGGGTTTGGCAGCTGGGATGAATAGCTGTGGGAAGCTAATTAGGGATAGAAGGAAGCTCTGATGTCTGCTTGGCACAGGTGAAAGGAGAGGCTCTTTGCATCCCTCCAAGTTGGTCCATGGTCTCTTCTCCACTGGAGCAGGTCCTTCCAAGGAGCAAAATGCATCAGACAGAAAAAGCAGAGCGCAGGTATTGCTGCCATCACTAGCTACTCCTTTGCCACCATCCCCTCGGGTCTCACTTATCCCAGCCATTAGCCTTACCCACCTCCCCTCAGATCTGCTGATGCTGCCAGGTAGGCAAAATTATCCAGGCTGATCACATCGATGATTGGACTCACCACTCGGGTATAATCCTGTAAGAACAGAAGCATGAGAGAACAATCAGGCCTCTCATGGGGGCTGGCAAAGGCATGGGATATCGGAGACAGGAGACCATGCCCACAGCAGCAAAGATAAACATATCAGCATATTACATTGCAGCTCTTTCTTAGCACCGGTGTGGAAGCTGGGTAATGACTCCATGGCTACTGCACATGCCTATAGATAAGAAACTACCAGCTCTGCTTCATAGCTATGACAGGAGATTGGAACTAAGAGCCCGCTTGTAATACAAGTTAGCACACAGGATCGCTGGTAAGAGATAGCTCTTTATTTCCTGGCCTGCCACATGACATGGGTCCCTATTTCAAAGGTTCATATCCCTGACACATAGGCAGGAATCAGTACCCAATGTTCCTCTGATTTAAAAAAAAGCCAATACAATTTTTTAAAAATCTCATTACCAGCCCAAACCAACCACACAGCCAACTAATAAGCCACAAGGAAAGACAAATCATGGTTAAAAATAGATAGCAAGTAGATGTTTTTTAATTTGCCTTCTGGTTTTTGAGCCTTAGGGAGAACATCCATCACATTTTCATGCTATTCTCTGCAACCATAGGCACTAGACATTTAGTTTGTATTACAAGAAAGCTGAGATCCTCAACTCCCAGAGCTGGGGCTTTAAGAAAAACACCAGCTTTCACCACACGCATGATAAAACGGAGAGAGTCGGTAATGCTGGAGGTGCCTAGGCATTCATCTGTCACTACTGTCTCTGGCCTTCTGCGCACACAGCCCCTGGTTCTCAGAACAAGGTCCTGCTGGGGTCTGTATTCAGGCCTTGAGCCTGCGTGTGCTATTTGGTTTCTCATAGTCAGTAATGTGCTGTCAATAGCAGTGTTGGCGTACATCCCTTCTATGGTCTGTGCTCTGTTACCACCCATCCAGGAGTCCTGACATTCCAGCCTCCTCACAGTGAGAGACAGGTGTGAACCAAATCCCCTGACAAACACCTACAAAATTGGACTCTTGAACCTGGACCCAGATCTGATCATGGCAACGGACCCCTATATCTAAAATGGGCCGAATCAAAATCCCAGCACAAGCCTCTCCAGGACTCTAGAATGCTTGGATCAGAATCCAAAAACTTTGCAGTTCAGATCCAAGTGTGCTAATAACTACTCAGTCCCATCTGCAGAGGCACCGTCATTGTGCTGCGGCTGCTGCTGCCAGGAGCTCAGCTTTACGAGCAGAAGTAAAGCAGACATTTATGGGCTACTGAGATGGAGGATTTATTGAGTAGGCTTAAAAAGAAGCTCTAAGGTTTCACCTTCTTCCTCCCCTGGGTACTAAACTGAGCAGATACATGAAATGTGCAGCAGCGCAAGTACCTCCCACTCCTCTCCTGGGCCCCATTAGTTCATGGGCTCCTTCCTGCAGAGTAGGAGAGCTCTGCTCTTGCAGGTGGGAGAGAGATCAGTCCCCCTTTCCACTCCCCTGCTCTTTCATTGCAGGATTTTCAGCAGCAGAGTCACATCCTCTTTCAACCCCATGGCGAATGCCAACGCTGCTGCCTGATATTCCGCTCTTTCTCCTAGGGGCACTTCGTGCTGGGGGGATGGTTCTGTGGGCCTGGTGTTTGTTGCTGGGAGCATTAATAGCAGGAAGGTTTCAGCGGTCACGGGGTGAGGTGGGGAAGGTTAAGCAGTGGGAAGGGGACTTGGGGCAAGGGAGCAGGAGTGGGTGCAGAGGTTGTGTGTGTTGTCTATATGTGAGGGGATGTGAAACAGGGTATCCAGGAAGGTTAAAGCCGTGGTCAATGACATGAGGATTTTCACAGATCTCCCCTCCCCTATTACATCCCCTTCCCCATAACAGGGATGTGTTGGGGCCTGCAGGAGGAGCCCTGATAATATACAACAGGTGCCAACCACACTGGATATTTCAGGCTCCGTACTCCTCTTACAAACATCTGAGCTCGACAGGGAGACCTTGGGTGCTTGCCCCCGATGCTGCAGCTCACAATGTGCCAGCTGCAGGAACAAAGAAGCTAGATCCTGGCAGGGGGTGTGTGGCGGGCTCTCTCACCTCTTTCACTCTCTGAAGCATCGGCTGCAGCCACTCGCTGTTCACCTCACAGTGACTGTCCAGGAAGGTGAGAATCTCAGCCGTGGCCACCTCGGCCCCTCGCACTCGGGAGCGGATCAGCCCTAAGACGAGGAACAGGCAGAGGAGGGGAAAACAGTGGAAAGACCAGAGTGTAAAAAGAAGTGGAGATTAGGGAGAGAAAACACTGAACTGCTACTGCTTAGAGAAAATAGAAATTCTCCATGGCCTTGCATCTCGTGCAGTCATTTACACTGCTTCAGGGTCCTGATTGAACAGGGCAAGCTGGGGAACAGAGGGTCTGGGCTGTGACCTGGGGCAGGGAATTGGGGTGCAGGATCTGGGAAGGGATAGGGGGCAGGAGGGGGAGGGGTTTGGATTATGTGGGGTATGGTGCCAAAAGGTTGGGGTGCCAGAGGCAGGCTCTGGCTGGGAGACTTACCTGCTTGACCCCCAGCCAGCAGCCTTCTCAAGCAGACCCCTGCCTGCCCCGTCTCTGCACTGGCTGCAAGGAGCCATGTGGTTTTTGAACAACTATGAGCCTGAGGAGAGGTGGGAAAGACTGCTTCCCAAGCTTACTGGTGACAACAGGCAGCTCCTATTGGCCGAAACCGTGCTGGGGGTGGGAGCAGTGGGAGCAGCGTGAGAAGGCTCACAGCTGTTCACACAGAACCCAGCAGCAGCTTCTCTCAGAAGCGTGCCGGGAGAGGGGGGGCAGGCGGGGCAAGGAATCTACTTGAGACTCCCCACTGCGTCTATGGGCTGGATCTGGTGGCTTGACAGGCCAGATGTGGCCTGTGGAGGGTATTTTGCCCAGTCCTGAAATAAAGCTTTGTTGCAAGCATGAATTGTAACCATGAGAAATAGTATCTGGGGGAATGGAGGGCAGAAGGGGTGACTTTGAGAGCAGATGGTACCTGCAAAGTTTTTCGCACTCACCTTCTCGCCGGCTGTTGCGTAGACATTTGACCTTTGGGATCTTGGTAAGGAGCTGGCAGTCCTCAGCTTAGAAAAGGAGAAAACATTTGGCATAAACACATTAATTATTTGGCTTCAGTGGAGCGCTCCAATTAATTGCATCTCTATGAAGGGAAAGCGCTGCTGTCACTTCATACCACTTTAATCAACCTGATAGCCTTAATCCCATTGTCTAAAATACACCCACGAGAGCTCTGCTCTCTTGACAGTCCTCCTCACCGAGTGCTGAGCCAAAGCCCCCCGGATGCACTGAAGGACAGAGGCTGCAGCCAATTTGAGTTCAGCCCAGCAGAAGAACAAAGGGACATACGCTGTAGGTGTAGAGCTGGGAGTGGGAGAAATTGAGGGATGGCAGGGAGCAAGTGCAGAGAACCCAAGAAGCCAGGGAGAAAGAGACCTATTTTATCAGGTGATCTAGTCCATCTCCATCCACTAGATCATTCAAGACTGTTGCCTACGATCTGTTCTCTGGGATAGTTTTCAGCTTAGTTTTAATTTATCCAAGCCATGGTGATTAACCATCTTCCTTGGGGACGCTTTTCCACTGTCTAATAGAGGAACGGTCGACGGAAGGCAACACCAGCCACTTGCCGGGAGCCCAAGTCGCTCCTGATTTGTATTACCTGACAAACATCACAGAACACTGCAGCTGCACACCCCACGCTGCATCTGGCAAGAGTGACCTTCCACTCAGCGCATGTTGGAGCAATGCATGCTGGGAGGCTGAGGCTGAGAAGGCCGCATCTTCCCGTGAAAGAGGAGATACGCCACAGGCCTCCCTACAGAACTCTGCCCACAGGCTACAGTTTGGAAACGCCTGTTCTAACAGATACCACTGGGGCAAAAGTTTCCATTTCCTCTCTGCCCTCCCTTTCTTCTCTGACTCCCCTACTCCTGCCCCATGGCCAGCTCTTTTATCCCAGGCGCTTTTCATCAGCTTGCAGAGCCCTTTGCTTGTCATCATCCTCCCACAGTCTGTGTTCTGAAGAGACACGCTAAGGCGCCCGCCAAAGTGCTTCTCTTGGCATCTCTGTATAATAGGAGCTTTTCCATTTTCAAGGACACACATAATCCACAATATTGCATGGGAAGCTTAGCTTGCTGTATCGTCCAAATGTAGTGACAAATGCTTGTGAGTAAAAACTTATAGAGATATAGGTGAGTAAAAACCTATCGAGACATTGCTGAATGTCTGTCACAAGGGAATAGTGATAGAAATGTAGCCGTGTTAGTCTGGTGTAGCTGAAGCAAAATACAGGACTATGTAGCACTTTAAAGACTAACAGGATGGTTTATTAGATGATGAGCTTTCGTGGGCCACTGAGGAAGTGGGTCTGGCCCACGAAAGCTCATCATCTAATAAACCATCCTGTTAGTCTTTAAAGTGCTACATAGTCCTGTATTTTGCTTCTGTCACAAGGGAAGATTGTGTTTCAGCCCTAGACAAGTCCAGGTGAATGCAAGCATCTATTTCCAGGTTATTCACCTATCAGGAATGTAACAAGAATAGGCCTGGAGTCCAGCTCAGGAAATCACCTCCTAGCTCTGACCCTAACCTTGCTGTGTCCTTGGGGAAACCAAGGCACCAAGGGCCAAATGTGCAGAAGTACTCAGCACACTAGAGCTGCCATTGAGAGTAATGGGACACTTCTGATAATCTTGTCATTTATTTAGATGCCTACGTGGGCACTCTTTTGAAATCTGGGCTGTTCTAATCCAATGCTTGCAAAAGTGGCAACTAAGTCTGAGTTTGAACTGTCGGGTGCCCAACTTGGGACCTGCTTTTCACAGCTGCTGAGCCCCACAGCTCCCATTGCCTCTGACTGGACACGTGGGTGCTCAGCACTTCGCAAAAGCAGGCTCCTGGTGTCAAGCTAACATCTAGGACCTCAGCACCACACTCAGTGGCTACTTTTGGAAAATATTTAGAAAAGTGCAGCTAGCGCCATTTCTTTACCTCACAGGGGCACTGCAGACAGTCACCATAAAATGCTATAACACACTGTAGTAATTAATTACATCTGAAGACATAGTTAATTATTATCATTAATATGGTGCTGCATTATCCTGGTCCCTGTGGAAGCCCCTTGCCCCTTGTGCCCACTCCCATCATATAACTGCCAAGAAAATGCAAGTCTTGTGCACAGGGGAGTGCATAAACTACTATGTCCTAATGCCCTCAAGGGAATGAATTACCCAAAAAGTGGCATAGAGGAATCAGGGCACAGCCTTTATTCTGTGGAGCTGGCCAGGATCATGCAGCATACACTCCTGCTTCACACTAGTTTGCTGGAGCAGGTCTTGTGACTCTTACAGCAAAATCTCACCCAGAACCACCCCCAGGGATGCCCTAGCTACATGACATTCCTAGCTCAGGGCAAAAGCCACAACCTGTCTGCAAGACATGAGAGTTTGCAGCAGTTCTCTGTGGTCTCTCTCGCTCTCTCTCTCACCCATATCATCAGACACTGCTGGCCTACACGCACCGTAAATGGGTTAAACAATCTATTAAATGGTAGTTAATGAGACCAGATAGTACCCTGGCAACCTGGCCAGAACTGCTGAGCTCACACAAAGAGAAGAGTAAATGGGGAAAGAATCAGGAGGAAAACATGGCCTTTTTGCCATGGGTAGAAACTAAACTAGGCGCAGAAAAGTCTCTCTCCTTACGCTGTTCTTTTTTTTGCCAACAGCCCGGAGAGAGAATTTTTGAGAAGGAGTGAAATAGAGTAGCGTGAATGTAGGAGAAAATGAAGGACAGAAAAGCAAAAGGAAGATGAAGGTTTGATACTTACGATCTGAGCTGAAGTCATCCACTAAAATGATCTCCTGAATAAGATTGGCAGGGGTGCGGTTCATAACACTGCAGGAATCCAAGAAGGAAAGACGTACCTCATCATTATTAAACAAAAGCTTTCACTTGTACTGTCTGTAACCTGAGTAGGGTGACCCGATGTCCTGATTTTATAGGGACAGTCCCACTATTCAGGGCTTTGTCTTATATAGTCACCTATTATCCCCACCCATCCTGATTTTTCACACTTGATTTGTCACATCTTGAATACTGCGTACAGATGTGGTTGCCTCATTTCAAAAAAGATATATTGGCTTTGGAAAAGGTTCAGAAAAGGGAAACAAAAATGAGTAGGGGGTTTGGAATGGGTCCCATATGAAAAGAGATTAAAAAGACTGGGATTTCATTTTAGAAAAGAGGAGACTAAGGGAGGATATGATAAAGGTTTATAAAATCATTACAGATATGGAGAAAGTGAATAAGGAAAAGTTATTACTTGTTTCCATAACATAAGAACTAGGGGTCACCAAATGAAATTAATAGGTAGCAGATTTAAAAACAAACAAAAGGAAGTTTTTCTTTACCCTGCACACAATCAACCTATGGAACTCCTTGCCAGCAGAGATTGTGAGACCAGGAATTTAACAGGGTTCTAAAAAGAACTAGATAAATTTTTGGAGGCTAGGTCCATCAGTGGCTATTAGCCAGGATGGGTAGGAATGGTGTCCTTAGTTTCTGTTTGTCAGAGGCTGGAAATGGATGACAGGTGAGGGATCACATGATGATTACCTGTTTCTGTTCACTCCCTCTGGGGCATCTGGCATTGGCCACTGTTGGAAGACAGGATACTGGGCTAGATGGACCTTTAGTCTGACTCAATATGGCCCTTCTTATGTTCTTCAAGACCTTGTGTAGCTCCAGTCCAAACTATGTTGTGAATCTTGTTCCTTATGTCTCCCTTTATTTGTTTTTCTCTGTCAACAATGCAGGCAACACCAACCACTTTGCTTCCTCTGCCCACTCAGATCTTTGTGCCATCTTTCATAATGCCCCCCAAGTATGGAACAAACTCCCCATCTTCAATGGGACTACTCACGTGTTTCAAGCTAAGCACCTGCTCAAGTACTTTGCTGGATCAGGGCCATAAAGAGGAGAACAATGTGACATTATTATTAAAAAACCCCACCACCCTTAGGCTAACAGTCTACAGTGGCACTGGCTTTTTTTACTGCTCTCTCCCCCTTCAAACACATAACTGCTTTGCTGTTCGCTTCCTCATCCCCCTCTATCTCAGTGTTATGTTTCCACATGCTTGCCCATGAATATTTGTGTTTCAGCTTATATTTCCCTAGCTGTCTCAGCCTGCATTTTTTTCTATGCCAGCTCTCATTTTCTGCATCTGGTTCATATTTCAACCCACTCTGGGTCCCTTAGCATTACTCTTCTATTTTCTCTGATGACTGCAACTTCTCCCAAATTACTGTCATTTGCAAGTTTCATATGCAGGACCACTCTGTGCTTTGTGTAGTAATTCACACCTGTACAAAGTGAGAGTAAAATACTCCCAAATCAAAATGGTACTATTTTGTACCCTCTCTTCATAGGTGTCAGTGACCACAAACAGAAAGGGAATGGAGATTAGGCAGTGGAGAAAACATTTAACAAGACTGGTCTAACCCACCTATCTAAATCGTCCCTCCTCCTCTTCAACCTTGCCTCTGCATGAGTTGATCCCACCTCTGCTGAAATCCTTGTCCTTGCCTTTTCCTCCTCTCATCTTTATGATCACAACTTCTTCAACAGTGTTGTCAACAGTGCAATAGGAAACACACACATCACACCCTTTTCATCAACACTTCCACTGATTTCCCTCCCCATTAGACGTACTGTGATCTAGTACAGCGGGCTATGGACCTCTGGCTACTGGGCTGCAGTGGCTCTGGGGCTGGGGCGTGTCCTGCCCCACCTCTCAGCCAACAGCACTGGGCAGAGGTGGGGTTTCCATCTGGCTGTGGACCAGAGCTTCCCTGCACAGTGGGAGGCCATGCAGAGCTGCTCCACATGGCCCTCCTGCAGTGCAGGGAAG